CCCTTGGTCTTTCTGTACAAAAAAACACCTCGGGCGATTTTCTCAAATATTCTCTGGCCCTCATGCTCGTTAATAAGAAGTAAATAAAAAACCACAAACTAGAATATTTACATCAACAAGTTCTCCTATGAAATAAGTCTCCATTAGTTCCCTAGCATCAGAGGAATGGCCAACATCTTCAAAGTTTTCAGTCGCGTCCCCACCTACATGTAAGAGTACCGTAATATTACAATATTATAATAAAAGGAACAATCATAAACAATTCAAAATACTAATTCCAGCTACAGTGTACTGTCAGACTCTGACTGCTATCAAAGGTCCATGCAGTCAGCACAGAGTTTCTGTAGTACAGTTTACACCCAATTAACCCTGTTACTTACAAAATAAAAAAAATCCCAAATACATGTATTAGCTATCAAAATATTGAAAAAAAAACTGCACCACATGAAAGTACTGCTCAAAAGCTTTCATTTTACATCAACAAGTTCTCCTATGAAATAAGTCTCCATTAGTTCCCTAGCATCAGAGGAATGGCCAACATCTTCAAAGTTTTCAGTCGCATTTTAATGGTTTTTAATTTAAAACTTATTGTATTTTAATTTTTCAGTCGCATTTTAATGGCCACACACTAGGGTTTTATCCACAAACGTAAAAGTTACCACCTTGTACAGCATAATAAACAGTACCACATGAAAGTACTGCTCAATAGCTTTCATCATTCTCGTCCCCAGAGTCTGCGATTCTTTTTGGTCAGCACCAAGAATCTCGGACTCTGGCGGGGACAGATAGAACAAATTTTTTGATTGGCTGTTACAACAATGAACAGACAAAAGACAAGAGAAAACGAGTACCTTAAGGAAATTAACGTTTGTTAATTAAGGTATTTGAAATTAATGCGACTTAAATTAACGCGAATTGGATGGAAAAGTACTTAGAAATAAAGGAAATTAATGCGAAAGAGGAGGTAAAATTTCAAAATGAGGGAAATTAACGCAATTAACACAAAGAAACAAATATATTTTGGTCGAAATGCAAGAACTCAGAAGTCGAGAATTGTTCTTCTGTAGGCGAGGGTGAACTTGAAATATTGTAATCAAGGCTTTAGTCTTTTACATTTAAAATATTGAAATACAGTGTACACAAAAGAGAGTTTCCTAGGTGTCAAATGTGTCTGTACAGGATCCAGAATTTGAGGTTATAATAATGGAAATTAAGGTAGCGGAAATTAACACTCCACTTAATTAACGTCGCGGAAATTAACGCTCACAAAAATTAACATGACTAAATTAACGCAAATTTAGAAAATTCACGTTAATTTCCTATAATAAGGTACTCTGCGCAAGCTCAGAAAATCAGTACTAGTGAGAGGTCATGATTTCTTGGTGCTGACCAAAAGGATCGCGGACTCTGGGGACGAGAATGAGTTTTCATTTGAATGGTCACACACTAGCTAGGGTTTCATCTACAGACATGAGATCAAGAACAACCTTGTACAGGCTAATAAAAAGAAGAATGCTCACCAGCTTGTTCCAGTAATACTTCTTCTCCTCCTGGATGCTGATTTATTACGAAAAAAAAAAATAATGAGCCACATTATTGAATACTCTGAGCCACGGACTCCAAACTACATCCTGAGGGTGTCCGCTATAGAGAGAGTTAACTGTATTTGCTCTTTTGGTATATGGTTAAAAGTAGCTGCCCTGCATTGTAGTCTCCTTCGCAGCCATTATTTGGCTCATCACGCAACGCTTCCCTCCCCCACTTACATGTAGTGGGGGAGAGAAGCATTGCGTGACGAGCCTAATAACGGCTGCGAAGGAGACTATGCATTGTGCAGTTCCAGAAAATATCCATACCCACCCACCACACAAGGAAGGTCACTGGAAATTCTGAGGGGGGGAGGGGGGTCTTAAAAGCCACATTTTTTAATTAAGTATGAAGCTAAACTGGAAATTCCAGGAGGGTGGTGGGGGGGGGGGGGAGGGTTGTCAAACCAAAAAACCTTCCTTGGGGGGTATGGATATTTTCTGGAACCACACATTCTGTACTTTAGCCCAACTTTTAATAAAAATAAATTTAGATGTAATGGCTCAGTCAATTCCAAGCCCGCTCATCCCCCCCCCCCACCCCCCCCGGGCATTTGTCGGGCATTTGTCATTTTTTTTGCCAGAAGGTTGAAAATGCCCCCACGGTGGGGTCAGCTTACATGCACAAAATCCCCACGGTGGGGCTTCAGGAGCAGTGCAAATGCCCGACCCACGGGACAAGTTCAAAAACTTTTTTGAGAGGATCGAGGAATTTAAAAATCTAAATTCCAAGCAGAACTATTAATGATGGACACTATAATGTTCACAAATACATAGCTCTTTATTTATACCTGTAATCATGATTTTTGGAACATGGTGTTGAAGTCGAAGCTTCGTTCCGCCATCTAGTGACATCTTTGGTTCGCACGTGGAAAGCAACGGTGCAAATGTTTACACATGTGGGGTGGGGGTGGGGCTACGGTACACTTGAAAAGTGCAGGACTCAAACGAGGTTTAATATCAAACTCAGTTTTTTATATTTTTCTATCAGGGGCAATCAGGAAATTTTAAATAAACAACAAAACGTGTACGTCTTTTAAAATACGAAAGATCGCGTTGCTTTTGACAATGCCCCACCCCGGGCTGCCCGGTTATAGCAAATGCCCCACCCTAGGGATGGAAAAGTTGTAAAATGCCCGACAAATGCCCGGGGGGGGGGGGGGGGATGGTCGGGCTTGGAATTGACGGAGCCATAAGCGATTCCATGTTGTACATTTTAAAGGAATCTCCAGCAAAATGTTGAAATAGTGGCTAACAACTGCACAGACTACATTTTGGCGACATAACAATATTATTAAAGTACAAAATGGAACTGGCCAAAGTTCATCATACGGCGGTTGTACAAAAAATGCAAGTTATTAAAAGGGTCACGTTTGAGTTACTTCTAAATAATGTATTGTCTTTCTCGTACCCTTGGAATTGTAGCTATAAAAGATCAAGTTATAAGCTTAACATTACGCAATTCAAATATTTGACATGCATGCTCGCTTGGGATTGCATCACACATGGCCTGTGGCAAATCTTCGCTCGCTGTTCCTTACAAAACTTCACTTACCTCGTCTAAGAATTTACTGACATCAAATACTTTGTTATGGATAATTAACCACGACGATCCCGCCACATTATGCTTTTGAACCTCTTCTAAAGTGAGCTTTTTCGGCTCTTCTGCCATTGTGAACAGTCTTCTAGAACGTCAAACGCATGCGTGAAGTTCTCGCCCCAGACTTTTCTCATCTGTGGACCGCCACATGCACAGAGAGGGACTAAAATCAAGGGGAACCCAACAGCTCAAGGCTCATCAAGGCCTATAATCGCTAGGATTTTCGGAAAGGCAATTCGGGTAATAAGATTTCAATCCCTAAAATTTTCTGTAGTTTGAAAGTTCAGCTAACGTATCCGAACAGATACATTTTTCTTAGCGTTTAAAAATAATCCATTAAACCGCACAAAAAGCACAGTTATGACGAGGGGACGTTAAAGAACCCACATCACTGTTCGAAAAGAGTAGGGGACGTAGTCCCCGGTGTTGTGGTCTGGTTTGTTCACATGTATTCATGGGTTGGGTGGGTTGCCATAGGCGCCTTTACAAGCTGACGTCCGATCTCACCCCTGGGTTGAATTGTAAGGCGCATGTAAATGTAATTACCATTACCATAGACGCGGGGGGATTGGGGAGAGGGAAATATAAAAGGGGGAGGGGCACCCTCTCTTCCCCCGTGAATTCCCCTACACACGGGCTACGAAGCGGCGAATTCTGGGACCTGAGTACAGTGAGTGATTTTTTACTCAACCCGATAGATTCTGGAGTAATACATTCTATTGCTCTCTAAATCTTTTGTTTTCTTTGACTTTCTCTCCTCGTGGAGAATAGGGCCTTCGATGGCCTTTTTCTCCACGCTGCCCTGTCTTAGGCTGCCGTAGTGGTTTGTGTCTAATAGACAGTAACTATTAGATATTGTTTCATGGGTTAAATAAAATCACTCTATCGAAGATCAGAGTGGGGGCCGCCAGCTACAAGCGTGATGAAAACTCGGAAGTGGGTGTGGTTAGGGCATGCCTTCAGATAATCTCAGAATTGCACTGAGTTTGGACGCGCTCGCTTGCTCTCCCACTCGACTATCCCTGAGGAAAATGAGGGACTGTCTACGCAGACACTAGTCCCACGAACAGTTCACGCGAGGGGACAAAGAAAATTTGAGGGGACAAGTCCACAAGACTCCTCAAGACTAGTTCCTTCAATTGAAACTGGTTAATTTAAAAATTCATGGAACAAAGTCGTTGGGACCAAAGTTTGGTCCCCACGATTCAATTTTCCGACGAAAATGGGTAGTTCACGCAAAGGGGCTTGTCACCGGGACTACTCCCCTCGTGTAGAACGGTTTTCGATCGAGTGTCGTGAAACCAAAACCAAAGCAATGACAAAGGCCAATCACAACAAACGTAAAACAACAAAACGAACCAATGAGAACTTTAATAAAGCAAATACACGTAACCGGCGCCAAGCGCGGGAAAACGCGTGTGAACAAGTCGTGATTGGTTTTGGTTTTGCATCTGATTGGTTGAGAAGGTGGCGCGAGTTTTTTAAACCAATCACAGAACGTACGCCATTTCCGAGTTGCCTTTTGCCTCTGTTTCAAAACGAGTCCTGGTGCACAACCTTTCATATGGAAATGAGTTTGATTTGCATGACAATAAACGTGTAGGTAAAACTCATTTCCATATGAAAGGCTGTGCCCCAGGACTCGTTTTGAAACAGAGGCAAAAGGCAACTCGGAAATGGCCTAATTGCAAGCTACTGGGTTAAAAATATTCCGAGTCTGACACTCTACCTCACATGTCACTCATCAACAAAACTATTCCTAACAGTATCCGGGAAGTTTGTCACATTTGAACCTAGTTATAAGCTCCCACGAGTCTCCTGTAGTTGAGTGGTAGAGAGTCCGACCGCCGTGCGGATAGGTCATAGGTTCGACACCTGTTGGGAGAAGTCGAATTTTTTTTCCGAGTAGCTTGTGTCAGACTGATTAACAACTGCTGCTTACTAGTTTAACCTTTTGGGTTAGAAAAAAAAAGGGTATCTTGTTACTGAATGTAACGGCTTGTAACCCCTTGTTATTGAATGTAGCCCGAGTATCAGGAAGGCCTGATACTCAGGCTAGGTACAGGGTAAGGGTTTTTAACATCTTTCTCATACTTACAGATAGTCATTCCAAAAAAATTCCAAACAACATTCTACGACATAACTTTTATTTCACAGGACACACAAAAGACGTAATAATTTATATTAAGCTTAACTTCTTGTCTGCCTCCTGCAGAAAGGGAGGGCATGGAGAAAGGAAAATAATTTTACACTTCCTTCATTCTATACATAAATGAAACTTGATTATTTTTTATGTAGCATATTTTATGTACAATAAGCACGTATTATTACAGCGCGGACACTCGAACCGTGAACGCTTTGGCTTTATTTTGGCTTTATTTTGACTTTATTTTGACTTTATTTTGACTTATTTTGTATTTTTTTCAGAAAAAAAAACAAAATAAGTACAAAATAAGTGAACATAAAGTCAAAATAAAGTCAAAATAAAGCCCAAATAAAGCCAAAATGTTCACGGTTCGAGTGTCCGCGCTGTAATGGCATTTTATATATGTTCGTATACTCTTAACACTGACTATTATATACAATGAAGCTACAATAACATTACAGTGAAAGTACAATGAACTTTCTTTAGTTTTATGCATACCGCTAGCCCGAATTCTCATACAAGCATGCACACGATTATTTGTTAATTTTTCAAAACTGTCCAAATTAATCATTAATTTGGATACGTGTCCAAATTAACGACTGTTTCACCCGCGATATAATTAAAATTTAATAGCACTACATGCTTGTCCAATTTGAAAATATTTGAATTCAAAAAATCTGAAAAATTCCTCTAACTGCCAAATTGGACTCGGCATACGGCCTCGTCTAATTTTGGCAGGCCTCGGAATTTTTTTTCATCCAATTCTTTCCAAATTGGACAGCATGTAGTCCTATTACATACTAATTCGATCCTCGGGAGCATTTAAAATCGTGTAACGTACCCTACCTTTGACACTCGCTTAAGTTTGTTGTTGTTGTTAGTTTTGAGATCTTTATGTTGGTTTTCCAAAGTTCTCAGCCAATCAGAGTGCCAAGAATAGCATGTGCACGTTTCTGATTGGTCAAGCCATGGGAACCCAACATAAAGATGTGAAACATTATAACTAACCAATAGGCCTATTTCGATTGGTAAAAATCTCCCAGTATACTAATGCAAATGCGGCAATCTAATTGGCTGAGCTACTCGTATATTATCATGCATTAGCATACGAGTGGCTGGAGGTGGAGGTCTTCTACAAAATGGCGGTTGTTTCTCACTTCTTCGAAGTTTCGGAGAAGGATTTAGAGTTATTACTATACAATTCAATTCGTTTAATAATAATTTTTATTAAAACAATAATTATTAAATTAGTTGTCTTTGATACTTGGCTCCGAGTCTTAAAACAAAAGAAATCAAATTGAGGTTGAGGGATAATTAACTAATTGATTTGTTTTATTCCCCGAAGCCTCGGAGCCAAGTCAGAATTATGAATATCGAAATTGGCCTATAAGCGGTACGACGAACACAGCGGTCAAACGTACAGAGCATGTGCAGTTCACGCCAAAACATAAAGACACTTACTGACTGAGAATTTAAAAATTGTTACCGACCAGTTTTGTCGCCTGGTATCTTGCTTTACTGCCATATTTTTTAAACGTTTTCTTACAAACCTCTTGCACATAACGCTTCAAACTCTTAAGATCAAAGCAATGACAACCGGAAGTTGCGTGGAGTTTTTGCGTTTGACCGCTGACTGGGTAAGATGCGTTTAATAAAGTACGCATGCGTGTATCTCGATTACCAGACCTGTACAAAGCAGCTTAAGACCTGGGCCTTGCTAATGCGGGGAAAGAGACAGTTAAAATATTATTTACACATCATCGGCAAGAGAGGATGATCTAAGAGAAGGATGATTCCCTTTGATGATAATTTTTTTGAAATCTATTAAAAGTTTCGCGCCATGGTGTGAAAGTTATTTTTATTTCCTTCTGATCGAGGCTCCGACATCACGTAACTCGAACTGACCAATCAGGTAGTGGAAACCCATGTATGGGGGAATGCTTCTCTTAGATCATCCTCTCTTATCGTGGACCAATTTTACACCAAATAGCTGGTGAAAGATCACTCGGGAGAAAATAAGTCTTTTTTACCAATGGAAATTGTGTAGCAAAGGCCCAGAGCTGGAACTACTTTCACTAAAACTCCTACTCTTTCTAACAACAGGAAATACAGAACATAGACAGTAATAAATTCACTATTAAAAGCATTGTATACAAGGCTTTCACAGAAAGAAAAGCATCATTTCACTGTCCCTAAAAGTGTTTGCTGCTGACAGGGGTTTCAAATAGACCTTTCTCCAAAATGGCCGCCGCAAATTCAAAATGATTTAAATTAAACTGAGCGGAAAATCAATACCAGCACCTGAAAGACCACCTCTTGTTTGGTAACAAAGTTAGGTTAGGTTCTACCTGAGTCGAGAAAACGGAAGTTAAAAACTGGAAAATTTAGAGACGTTGTATGACTGGAGTTTGTATACGCCATACCCCCAGTCATGCGCGGGTTTATACTGTAACTCCTCCCCACAAGAAATAAAGATTTTACAACAGAACCAAGTGGATTCTCTCAGGAAATATGTAGCTGACTAACTGTTATTATCATTCTGTTAATAAGTTTAATAATGTTACATATACACCTCTCATGCTCGCCTTTCCCCAACGTACTTTTACCTATAAAGCTTTTTAAACTTTAAAAATTAGCAATAGAATTAATTAACATGCTTCGACCATGAAATAATTTACGCGCTGAGTACGACACAATTGTAGAATTTGAGCCACGGAACTTCGCAGAGTTGCTCCACGTTGGACGCCACAGTGGCATGATCGCGGGCGCAATATTTTACAAGAGGACTGGTAATGACTAAAATGGATACACCACAATAAGTTGAGACACTTTGTGACATATATACAACAGAATATACTCCAAAGTAAGGTTAGACACCTGGTGATGTTTATATATAACAACCTCGACCATAGGCGGAGAACAATGCTCCGTTTGGGCAGAAAAAGGCGTTCGGCTTAAACAGAGAATAGAGTTTTAGGGGTTAAGCATTAATCTACAGTTTCATTAGGGTGGCGAGTCTGTTTTATCGGTTCGTGATTTGCTAAGCACTGATTCAGCATTCCGTTAGTATTCAGTTGTTTTGGTAAACACTTCATGTACCTTAAAAATGACCGCTTCTAGCAAGCTAGTCTCTCATTGGTGTATTGGATATGGAGTTGAGTTGAGCTTCGACTTTATGTATGCCATTATATTCATAAAATGTATTTTTAACTTAGTAACCTTTATCTAAGATAATTTTATTAGCACTTTGTGTCTGATCTGACTTTGGTGTATCCATTCCAGTCAATACCGGAGAGGAACTGGACCCGAGCGGGCTTCAAGAAGTTAGCCCCCAGTCTGTCTCCTCCTCTCCACGAAAAAAAAAACCTTAAAGAAATATAGAAGCGTCTTGCTTCTCAGACGCGACAGACTGAATTTATATCTACAATGTGCCACGACAGCACAAATATATAGATCTCTGTACAACTATTTTCTTAATTTTTTGCCAAGATGCGAGCAATAATTTTACAACCTACTCTACAAAAGTATTGACCGTGGGTGGAGCAACTAAATCAACTTCAGGACTACTACTTGTTATTGTTCCACCGACAATTACTGAAAGAGGTATATTACATGATTTGTGATCTATTTGATCTGTTTAGTAAGTGCTAGTTGGCAGTCTTCCGAAGGATACGGTTGTGTAATACCAAGATGGCGCCAGCGGACCCTGGTAACTAAGGGACAAGGTGTACAACTGATTGCGTGACGTGGTCACGGATGCATCTACTGTTTCGTGTCACAAGGCATTGGCAGTAAACGTGGCAAAAGTCAAACATCCGTGTACCGCACATCCATCTCTTCTAGTCTTGGCAGTTTCTTTAGTAGCAACAGAAAACACAACATAACATAATTAAGGCGACATTGAGGCATTAGAAATGTTTTCGGAAAAACACCTTTTCACATTCAATTGAAAGCTGCTCTTTTACAGTGGAAAGCAAAAATTTGCAACAGCTGGCAAACGCGGGGAAGATCACCTAATTGGCCGGCAAAACATCTTTGCACTGATTGGTTAAAAAAAGTTGCACATTTTTTCAACCAATCAAACAGCTGAGCAAACGCAAACACCGTTTAAGTCATTTGGCAAGCGCTCTCGAAAAGCAATTGAAAAATGTCTTGCCCGCCATCAATCTCAATACAACTCTAATTTTCAATAATTAGACAACTCACCCTGAGTTTCTCGTAGGTTGTCGGTGAGAGCCTGGTACTGTTGAGGTTCAAATTGCGAAGACTGGACATGATTACCAAGGATGACAGTCCATCGTCCGTCACGGGCGTCTCACACAGATTCAGCGACTCCAAGTTGTGGAGCTGCTCAGCTACCATGTGAAGACCTCTGTCGCCAAACTAGAAAAAAACGGTTTATAAACAGTTCAGTTCACTCGCCACAGCCAGGATAGTAACTTAGTATCTATTTACTGTGGTGCCCACCCCCACTCTGCAGTCAGATGTCCTATCAACTGAGCTAACTAGGGGGGTGGAGGAGAGGGTAAAGGCTAAGTATACTCACAGACCAAGTGGAAGCTTATCCCGGTTTCCATAACATAAAGCGACTAGTAACAAAATAAATTACACACGGTGTACAATAACTCCTTATGGCATTTTTAACAGAAAGAAAAAGAATCCATTCCCAACTCAACTAACCTGAGTCGACCAAAGATTTAAGTGCAGCAAGGCTGGTAGTTGAACCAAGTATTCAGCGCAT